TTTGATTATTTGAATCAACTCTTGTGTAATTCTGGTAAGAGAGTTAAGGGTAATATACTAGTTTCATTGAACCTCATTTAATCACTGGCTAGAAGTGAATTATTACCGAGAATTCACTTAGTATTGTTTGTATGAATCTTCCCATCGATGTGTTAGGACTGCAACTAGTCAGTCTTAACACATCGATGGGAAGATCCAAACAAACAATAATAAGTGAATTTAAACTTCACCCCATTACACAAGTAAGTGGCTATCAGGACTCAGTAGTTGAGTGGATAACGAGATGGCGTTTGAATCGAAAACTACTGGGTTCGAGTCCCAGAGTGAACATTAACTCTGAAATTCACATACACCCATCTGAGGAGTCCCAAATAGGACGAAACGCACGTCAAACTGGATTCCACTGCTAGCCACTATCCATCTTTACTTACTATTACCGAGAATGTTTAACAAATTTTTAATTAATCATTCAATTTTCTTTAGTTATTAGATAGTTTGTAACAAGGAAGTTTATAAAATTCCAGTCGATAAACAATGTTATTTATACACGATAGCTATGTATCTGTAGACATGTCTTCAAAGGTTCACATATTTCATCCAATCCTCTGAGTACATAGTAGTTCTAGGTATTACGAACGTTTTGTGGTAGGAACAGTATTGTAGCTTGTAGATATAGAACATATTCAGAAGAGTCTTTTTCAAGTTACGTATTCCAAATCCCCAAAATCTATTGTGATTGAAATGATGAACTACTGGCTTAGTCAACTTTTGAACTTATCTGCCATCTGAAATTTGATTCGTTCATTAATATAGCTTACTTCAACAGGTTTCGATAAAACCTGAAGATCAATAATTTCAAAATGATGTATTGAGAAGCTATGAAGTGCTGTGGAATAACTAGATGGTACTTCTTTGATTTTCAATCGTTAAATCATCTAATATCAATTCGTGATATGAATTACCAACGTTGTATATACAACCTTATTTTTCTAATTTATCGATTGGTTAGGGAATAATGCCCAATAAAAATTTCGGAGTATATAAATATTAGTTAACTAACATGGTTGTAAAAGCTAAGAATATATGTATTCTCAGTGCAGGGGGAACTTGTTGAGGTTGTAGAACCTTTATAGTTTAAATGACCAGTTGATTTTAGCTAAGCCTTCATTAAAAACCTAAAAGCATTCAACAGCTGTTTCATCCGACTATGGGACTCCTCAACAATGAGCATACACGACCATACCACAAGGGACCGAACTTAGGAATTCCTGTCTCGTATCAGAATGCTTAATGTCTAGACTAGTTAGCTAACATTCAATAAAATAATTCACTAGTAAATATACTCAAATAATAGATACTCTAAATGTGAATAGTATTGATCAGGGCACACAATCCATTCAGTTGGATATACCGTAAAACTGAATAATCATTGCATTTTTTGTTGTTTATTAAAACAAAATCATAATAATTTTGAATTTTTAATGTAGGAGTTATCAAAAATGATTTATTTATTTAAACATATAAATAGTGATACAAAGGGACACCAAATACATATACGCCATATTTCATCATTTGATTTGTGTATAAAGAAAAGGAGTACTGCTCGAGTCCCCAAACCGAAGCAGATGATTTTCTAATGGCGCTGCACCCAGAGACTTTGACATACAGGTCTAATCCACAAGGCAGTGGAGCAACGTTAGGAGATGCAGTCCCAATAGTAGGTTCATACGCCATTTGTTCCTTAAGGACTTTGGAGTTCATGTACACCATTGGTTCGGAATCAGGGTTTTCCAATTCTCTTCGGTGGATCATACATACCCACCAATCTGGATAAAGTACCGGATATTCGGTTTTTGTCTTCTCAAGTTCGTAAACAACACTCCTGTCATGAGAATGTAACGAGTAGGACTTCCCTGACAGTGGCTTTATACGCGTGGCCATGTGCTAGGGGATTTATTGAAAACGATCGTTCGTACTTATAAACTATGTGTTCTTGTTATGTCTGTAAAAATGGTGTCTTTAAGTTATCTTACTGATCAGATTGTGATTGGCAGTAGTATCGTTCATGTGACGAAGAAAATGGAAGTGATTGAAATTACACACATAAACACTTATAAAGTAATATGAGGAATGTTATATGATGGTTGTTTTATTGACGAACGGTAAACAAGTAGAAAAGTTACGACGAGGTTACTTGTAGCTTTTTCAGGTATGTCATGCCAAATACTTTCAGTTATCAGTCCGTTCTTATAATAGGTGAGTACTCCGTAATTGGCTCTAATTTTCATTAAAGATTTCATTTCAAGTTAATGAAGTCTTCTTAAACTGTCTACTATGAACATATCCAGTTAGGACGTTAGGACATGAAGTGAAATGTTCAATGAATATTACATTCATTTATGCAACACTAACACACTAAATGAATAGAAATTTGATTAATATTGCCAAGTACAAAACACTTAGTGAAAATTGAAAGCGCTACTGGTAACCTCTGTTAAAAATATTCAATTTGCAGATCCTTGTTATTGACTGTTCTAAAAGGTTTGACATCATTTAGACATAAATTCGATATGTTAGTTTGTACTACTATTTATTCTGAGTAATCTGATCTCATTCATACGTACACACACACAGACTCGCCAGATGTTGATATTCTTCCAAGTTAATGACATCGGGTAATCAAATATGAGGACAAAAAATATGGATAGTTATTGGTTATGTAAATAGTAGACGGAAGAGAGTACAAAAGAGAATATGAAGGGAAAAGAGAGGAAGGGAATAAACTGAAACATAGAAAATAAGCATTTTGAGAACTTTTATATAATGTGTGCGTGTGTCTAGTGAATAAGGCTAGCACTATGGTTATCTTCCGGCTAAAATATGACATAGAGCTCATCAATGAATTACTCAAAGACGTTGCTGAGATTCTTGTGTGAAGTTTTAGCCGGTGAAGGTTAGACAAAGTGAGTGTAAAACACTTGGCGCCATTCACACTGGATGATCAGTATGAAGTTCTATAATAGTGAGATTTAGAGAATATATCCTTTCAAATACTATTGACACATCTATTTGATATGATATTCACAATTGATTTTATTTAGAACAATATCTATGTCAGAGAATACGAATTATTTAATGGCACAAACTACTCAAATTTCTGTTAAGAATTTATGAAATAGACTAATATTGCTGGGTAATTTTGGGATTGTCTAAAGCATTACTTTATTTATAAGCAAAGATGGATAGTGCTAGCAGTGGAATCCAGTTTGACGTGCGTTTCGTCCTATTTGGTACTCGACAGCTAGATGTATCTGCATTTCAGAGTTGATGTTCACTCTGGGACTCGAACTCAGTGGCTTTCGCTTCAAACGCCATCTCGTTATCCACTCATCTACTGAGTTCTGATAGCCACTTACTTGTGCAATGAGGTGAAGTTGAAATGTTACAATTAATACCGAGTGAATTCAAACTTCACCACATTGCACAAGCAAGTGGCTATCAGGTCTTAGTAGCTGAATGGATAACACGATGGCGTTTGAAACGAAAGTCATTGAGTTCGAGTCCCAGAGTGAACATCAACTCTGAAATGCAGATACATCCAGCTGACGAGTCCCAAATAGGATTCTACTGCTAGCCTCTATCCATCTTTGCTTAGTAACAGTCATTGTTTTTTCAATACTCAAGAGAACGTCAGACATTATTTAGTTTCATGATTCAAATATTTGTATTGCTATATTTAGGTTGAAATTAATTGTAACATTTACTCCAAATGATAATTAGATTATAATCAATGGAACGTGAATTATTTTTAAGGCTGATAATATAAAGAAGAGGAAAAAGAATGGAATTAGGTCACTGAGATAAATTAGGTGATATTGTGTGTTTAAATGAATAACAATCTGATGGTCTTTGTCATTACAAAGAATTATTTGAGGCTCAAAGTGTATAAATACACATTTGATATGCCTTGAACTCGATCTTTTAAAACAACTCACAGTTAAGGCTTACTGTTAAACTATTCCAAACTTAATAAGTTAATAATTGAGCTAACTTAAAGGACTTAAATGCATTACCAAACAAGGTTAAGGCACACATTGTATAGTTCTCGTAGTGACCATCAAGTTCTTGGATTTCATGGAGTTTGTAACTTCAGTGACTAGTGGACATAATGGCTTAGGTATTTAATATTAAGGAGGTGTTTACATCTCTTATCATTTATTTCATTTTACCAGTAGTGAATTTGTTTGAATGATTAAAATAAAATTCTCAGTCTAAGTGAGTGTTAGTCATTAAGCAAATTGTTTAAAGATGGTAGTTTCATCTATGACATTGCTTGACGCACGTCTAAGTCTAACAAATAGCACTAGTTCCTTGAAAATTACAAGAGTTCCTTAGTAAAAACATTCAATACTTTCATCCGACTAATGTGAATCACCTGAAATGAAATGAAGTGTACAGTGATATCAGCCGCCTAGACTAATGGTAGTAATGTTGCTCAATATATTACTTTATCTCGAACCGCTTTACTAATAATGTTCATGTGTATTTCTTTCTTTTAAAGCTACTTTACATCTGAGGCTCAGTAGTTGTAGAAATGTATGAAATATCTCGTTTTAAATCCTACTTTTTCAAAGACTTTTTAACTTACTTTGAATTAGATCAGATTCACTGATTCTTTAAAGTCATTCAACCATATAAGGTGGTTGGAGACAATGTACATGAAGCCTTGAAACTAGGTTTCTTTTTGGTTGTTACTTCTTATCATAGTATATCTAAAATCTAGAGAAAATTGTTGATCTACAGAGAATTGGATTCCGTGCCACTTGTTGTCACAGTTATAGATATTACTACTAAGGTAATGAGATCAAGACTGAATTATTGAGATATTTACGTTCAGTTAGTTATAATTAAGTTAAGTTTGATCATCATCATGATATCTTTTATTCTAGTCATTAATAAACAACCTTAAAAATTCATTGTGGTTTCTTTTTCATATCCAGTAATTGAATTATCTGTAACCTGCCCACTGCTACTGATGTTAAAATGAGTGTGAAAGGATTTTTTAAAAGTGTATTAAATTCTGGAGAACAAGAAGAAGAAACTAGAACCACTGGGGCCACATCAACAACAACTTCATTGTCTGGTTCAGCTACAGCTGGAGTAAATAATTTCCTATCTGGTACATCAAAATTTCTTGATTCGGTTCAAACAAAAAAGAATGGTTTAATTAGTGATTTGTCGAATAAACTAACGTCATTCAAAATGCCTGGCGAACAGTCGACCAATGAGAGTGAAAAGAAAAAGAAATCTAATAGTAATGATGATGATGATAGTTCCGCCAGTGAATATGGAGATGATGGTGATCGTCCAATGTATGCAGAAGTAGCTCCAGTAGAACGTCAAGTATCAGTTGAAAGTATAGACAGTTTGCCAGATGAAGATGCTGAACGACGTAAATCGGAAATTCGTGCCTTAGTCTCTAATTTACTTCAACAAAGGTAAATTGATGGTCAATATATTATAATGTAAAAAAGAGTTAGTATTTTTTGTGTACATGATTGTGCAAATAGTTTAGTTTGTAATTTTACATTACGAACTGATTTCAATTAAGGAATTACTTGGAAGTAGAAAACATTGAATAACTGTTTCGTTGTGACAAGTGGTTCCTTAACAATGCACATTAAGTAAAGATCGAATTCAGGACGTTCAGGCTTCACAAGAAACCTTTTAATTCTTAGATCAGAGTGTTGGATACCATCGGTTTATATTTATAACTTTAGTAAAGTCTTTATGCTGATTCGGTGATATTGGTCTCTCATCCGACGTCGTCCAACTCGACTGATCGTGGTCTCTCCCTAGAATTCCAAGAGTTACCTCTCAAAATAAGTCATCAGTATAGTAGTTGATTGCTTAGATAAAGCTAGCCTCCGATGTAAAACTACAAAATTCATATAATATTGATCTCAACCGGGAGCATGAACTACTTTTGCTGTTTGGTTTAAGTGTGTCTGTTTGTTAATTCATTTGTTTTTATCAACGGTACGGATGAGTTGAATGATTTTTTCTGGTTAGCGTTTTTTTAGCGAGTTGATTTTCTACGGGATGGGGTCGCTAACCCCATGCCCAACCCTTCTCCTTTACCCGGGCTTGGGACCGGCAGTAGCCCCTGGAGGAGCTACAGGCGGAGTTGATGAACACGGTGGATCAGATGCAGATGTGAGGGCGTGGATCGGCAAAGCAAGAGCAGCATATTTACAACTGAAAAACACCTGGAACTCAAAACAATTGTCAACCAACACCAAAATCAGAATTTTCAATACAAATGTCAAGACAGTTCTACTGTATGGGGCGGAGACGTGGAGAACTACGAAAGCCATTATCCAGAAGATACAAGTGTTTATTAGCAGTTGTCTACGCAAGATACTTCGGATCCGATGGCCAGACACTATCAGCAACAAGTTACTGTGGGAGAGAACAAACCAGATTCCAGCGGAGGAAGAAATCAGGAAGAAGCGCTGGAAGTGGATTGGGCACACTTTGAGGAAATCACCCAATTGTGTCACAAGACAAGCCCTCACATGGAATCCTGAAGGTCGAAGGAGAAGAGGAAGACCAAAGAACACATTACGCCGAGAAATAGAGACAGACATGAGAAGAATGAATAAGAACTGGAAAGAACTAGAAAAGAAGGCTCAGGATAGAGTTGGTTGGAGAAAGCTGGTCGGCGGCCTATGCTCCATTGGGAGTAACAGGCGAAAGTAAGTAAGTAAGTACGGATGAGTAGATGTAATTGATAAGTTAAGCCAACCAGAACTAGACCAATGAGAAGGTCAATCTATATTAATCAGATGTGATCTAAAGGACAAACGCATTTTATTGGCTAAGAAATAGATTAATTTCCTAAGAGATATAGTGGTATATACATAAATTAGTATTTGCGCATTCTATTTGGTAGCCCAGTTTACTTTCCCATCTCCTCCTGTGTTCTCGTTCAAATAGTCAGTTGGGAAGTTAGCGTATAAGACATCGTGTATCAGTATCAGATTTTGAACACTACTCCTCATAATAGTAATAATGTTATTTGAGATCCCTGGGGCATACTATCTTGTTTCCTTATTTATTCATCATCGTAATCAAGAATAAACTTTTATTAAATACGTACTCAAGTTAATAGTCTATGAAGATTAATAATTCAATTCAGTGGTAAACAATCTTTTCACCTTCAAATAATCTTGTTGCTAGGTCAAATAGTTTAATTAATATTATATCGAGTGAGTGCGTTCCCTGTTAATATATGACATTATAAGACCGCCGATCAGAGAGAAGTGAATTATCGATCAGAGCAATGATACACGAAAAACCGTACGAGCAATCTTGAGTACATATCAGTACATACCAGTTGAAATGTTTCAATTAATACCGAGTGAATTCAAACTTCACCACATTGCACAAGCAAGTGGCTATCAGGTCTTAGTAGCTGAGTGGATAACGAGATGGCGTTTGAAGCGAAAGTCACTGAGTTCGAGTCCCAGAGTGAACATCAACTCTGAAATGCAGATACATCCAGCTGACGCGTACCAAATAGGACGAAACGCACGTCAAACTGGATTCCACTGCTAGCACTATCCATCTTTGCTTACAATGCTTTAGAATTAAGGCTGTATCGAAGCACTACACAAAGTATGCACATATGCCGTTTAGAGACTGACCAGTTGCAGTCGTAACACATTAATGGGAAGATTCAAAAAAACAGTACTAAGTGAATATTACTTTATTTATCCGGAAAGTGTACATGCTACTCTAAATAGATATAAATGTAACTAGAGTTAACTAATGTAGGTCTATTATATAAGCTAGAAATTTTGAATAGGCTTATTATTTCATAAGTGATAATTAATGAATGAATAGGTAAGGTGATTTCAATGTTCGCCCTTAATCAACATTTGTTTTGGACGTTAAAATTCTGATAGACATGTTCTTTTTCTATGGTAATTATTCACTGAAAATTTTTGTCCATGACCTTGAATTCTTTGTTGATAAACATACTATATATATGTATATGATGGCCTCCATTTTGATGATCGCCCTTTTCAATGACTGTCCTCATCGATGTGTTCCCTTTCTCACTCGCCATTTCTCTCGTGTCCTAACTTGTGTGAACTAAATAACAAGATACAATGTTGTTTGTTTTGGATAAGTGTTTCTCTACATGCAATATCAATTAAATGACCATGATATGATAACATGAACTAATTGCTCATTAGCTAATCATCGTTTATAAGCCTAAGGGTTTTGTGAAATTGAAGAATTTTGTAGTGTACACCATGAACTGACTTTAATCAAACTATAATAACGACTGGAATTATAAATTATCGAACTCCAACAAAGTGATCTAGAGGTGAGGATTTCCTCATAATCTTTCACGGTCCTGAATTCTATCCATGATTGGATTGTGGATCAGCAGTGCTGAGGTCTCTCATATTAGAATAAAATAGATGTCTAGCGTTCCTTGGCTTTCACTGATTGTCTAAGTAGGGCGAACTGGTGACATAAACTTTCAAAACATAAAATTCAGTCATCACAGTATGTAAAAGCAACAATAAACTATATATTTTAATCCTCTGAATAAAATTTTCCGCCTTTGTTTAATTTCTTATTGATTTTGAATAATTCAAGTCAATTATAATTTTATCTTTCTGCTTTTCTTACTACACACTGTTCATTCTTAAGCTTGATCGAAGAAAAGATGGTGAAGAATTTCAGAGATTTCATTGTGGTAAGTTATTTATCAGTGTAGGAATACATTTAATGCCTTCTTGGTTGCTAAATAAGATTATTGTAAGTTGGAAGTACTTTACTTCACCTTCTGCTTCATTCCACCAACTCATTTTTTGCCAAATTCATTTTTCCATTGAGAATTTTAATATGTTTTATTTTATAAAGTTGAGATCATGAGTAAATTGAAGCTAGACCACCATGGAAAACCTGGACGGCCGTTTTGTCCCATTGTGGGACTCCTCAGCAGTGCGCATCCACGATCCCGCCCCGCGAGATTCGAGCACAAGACCTATCATTCTCGCGAGCGAGCGCTTAACCACTGGATGAAACAATCAGATTTAGGATAACAGGTCTTGGATTTTGGTGCGAAATTCATCCACTGACTTGGTTAAATATTGTTTTGGCATTTTAGCTGATATCAGTTCGTAATGAAAAGCCTGACCATCAACTGCAAATCATAATTCTAATCTCTCACATTGGTTTATAATTCTTATTTATTCCTAGTTAATAGATGGACATTGTCAAGGTCAGTTAAGCGTTGCTTAAAGGTCATCCATCAAATATAATCTAGACGAAAAAGCCTGTGCTCTTCTCAAATTTACTCAGTACATAACATTACATACACTATAAGCATAATGATTAATCAGGAAGACTTTGATTTAATTAAAATATTCTCTTTATATAATCTTAATCTGATCAGTAACTTATCAAAACAATACTATAATGGATGTTGAGAGGTAAAAAACCCTGTGGGACCCGAACTTACTTTACTCAGCTTCATAGTCTAAGAAGTTACTACTGTGGTTAGATCTTCTGATATGATATCGGTTGTTTTACAGGCATACAATTTACTACATCCAATAGATAACTGAAGCCTGGATGATCTCTAACTTAATGATTAAATTTCTTAGCAGTTGAAATAAAGAGCAGTGGTTAAACTTGATATCTTTTTTTCAATAAAAGTTATTTGACTTAGCTGTGAGCTATCAAGACAGAGTTGAGGATTGAACCTTCATTACCGAGTTCGGCAAGAAGTGTGATGATGATGATCTAGTGCTTTTATTAAGGATTCCTGATTTGAACTATGAAAATACTGAAATATCCACAAAATCCCTTTTGATCTATAACCATATGTCCACTAGTGACTGGCTTTAAAGAATGTCTCCTTGAGTTCTAGTGAGAAGCAGTGACCAGTGGAGTTCAACCAGGTCTGTTGTATAGATATCAACTCACTGAAGACAATTTGTGGACGGTTACTCAACTTCGTGGATCAGTTGAAGTTAGACATTAACACCGTTGGATATTGGCCGGCTCAGTGGCCTATCGGTTAAGGGCTCTGGCTCGAGACTGTTAGGTCATGGATTCGAGTCTCGCGAGTGCGGGGTTGTGGATGCATACTGCTGGGGAGTGCCGTAATAGGACGAAACGGCCGTCTAGTGCTTCCAGGTTTTCCATTATGGTCTAGCTTCAATCGATTTCTGATTTCAACCATGAACATACTGAAATATCCATAAAACCCCTTCTGGTTGTTTAATTCCTAAAATGAGTGAATCGAACTGGTTATAACTACTAGCTACCGGCTTTGAGAAGTAATCTTGATTGTCATGATATAGAATGAATCAATAGATATTAAAGGTGTAAACCATTAGATCTTATCTCAGATCTTATCTAAACATAACGTGATTACTACAAAACGTAGAGTTCATGAGTTCGATCCATTCGCAGGATCATCAACGAGGAGTTATAATAAGTTATAAATTATAATGAAACTTAAGTACATTGCTGTCTGATTCATTATGGTACTCGAATGAATGCTTCAATTGATGAGTTCACTAACATTTAATCTTTCACATGAGCTAACATGTTCAATGAGGTAAACTTCCGTTTTGTGATTATTTAAAGAAATCATCTGATAAAAAAAATTTTTTCTTCTCAATTATATATGGAACTAATGAACTTTTAAAAGCAAGTGTTTTGTATCTACTTCCGTTACTTGAAAGTATTTGAATTAACGTTAATCCAAGAAAACAAATTAAAATCTAGAGACTAATGAGTACGTATTTCCTCCTTATTTGAGAGTTACTAAAGATTTGTATTTTAATTATTACTTTATTGGTACAAAGAAGCACCGATTTGATATGAGCCACATAAGTCACTTGATTTGTGTGTAGGGACTGTGATACTGCTTGGGTGCCAAGAACAAAGCACGTAGTTTTCTTAAAGGGCCACAACCAGAGCCCTAGGTCTAAAGATATGATCCACGAGGCAATCAAGCAATATCAGAAGATGCAGTCATATGGTAGTCAGTGACCAGCGATTGGTTCATACGCCATTTGTTCCTTCAGGATACTGGAGCCTGTGTTCACCGCTAGTTTGAAATTTAGGTTTTCCAACTCCCCTAGGTCGATTATACGTACCCATCAGTACGGTTAAAGCACTGAACATTCGCTTTTGATCAACTCAATTTCTTAAACAACACCCTCACCACGAGAATGCAGTGAGTAGGACTTCCTCGATAGTGTCTTTATACGCGTGGCCATGTGAGAGCATTTTGAGAGAGAGAGAGCTGACTCTTCCCACCCTCGTGCATACCAGGGCATTTGGGGGCTCACTGAAGATGCATATACACGAATTTCGCATAAGATTTAACTCAGAACACTCAGGGTTTTAGTGGAGAGTATCATATAATGACAATAGGTTGGTTAATCTTTATTATCCCTGAGGTACGTTTACCAGTGAAGATCTAGTTTTTTCTTGAAAGTGTTCACTAATTGAGCTGATAAATCTTATTCGATTAAGATGTTCTAATTGTTAACCATTACATGGGAAAAACAAAATCTTTACTTGAGTTTGTTTGATCTTTTTTAGAGTCTTATTGCGACAATCATGGGTATGATTAGTTCTACAATGAACAAGAAGCTAAGATATAGCAACCAAGTAGTTATTAAGACACGGAATAGTAATATGAGATCCCCTCTCATTCTACCTTAAAATAAGGGAAATAAATTAAATTATTTGAGTTGCTCCCCAAAAATGGCGTTAAGGTATACATATAAAAGTTCAGGGTAGTATATTATGTGGTCAAATTTATTTAACTCACAGAACAAAGCCATAAGAAATCATATTCTACGTCAAAGCAACAAATGTTCCAAGTTCACATTTATACTGTTGAGTTATAGGTAAGTTTAGACAGTTAGTAGTTTATTACTTTGATAAATGTAAAGAAGATAAGATTTCCGCTGAAAAATTTGCCCTTGGAATCAATCTTAGTATCTTAGTTACCATTTACTGCCCAGTTTACACCAAACATTTTATCAATATGTTTCATAATTGTCTAAACGTAAATAAAAGACCTTTTAGTTCACCCGATTCCCCTGAACCATAGTATATGAGCAATACCCAATAATTATTCGTGTTTAAATGAATTTTCAGGGGAATTACGGAAGTAAAATACTACTCCCTTACATCTAGTAACAAAAGTTATCGGTCAGTGAATTGCCAGTAAACTTTTACTGAAAACGGAATACTACTAGTCATTTATTAAGTAGTATAGAGCAAATAATAAAATAAAAATGGCAAAAGTCAACTTGAAGTAAACGAATTGAACACACTGTATCTTTTTCCAGAAAAAAATATTGGTGATTTAACTAATTCCCACTTTCTGATTTTAGAGGCATAGTGGTCGTTCAAGATTTGCCAAGGAACTAAAATTGCAAGTAAGCTATCATTTTGTCGTTTCATAGATATTATGTTTTGTATTGAGATGAGTCAAGTGATTCTGTGTAATTCATATTTTGAAGTACCATTCGTATAACAGTGATCCCACTTAAGATTTAAAATTTTCTTCCTTTGATGTCTGTGATGATTCAGGTTAAATGCATATTGCCAATTTGTTCAAGAATATCAATAATAGTCTCATTTTGATAAACAGTATTCTAAAAACCGATAATTTCTCATGTATCAATTAAAAAGTGACTGAAATTCAAATTGTTTTTTATCGTTTTCACATGAAAGTCTGAGTGAATGAACCTGTCATCAAAAGGTTTCTAGGTTTTTATAATTTACTGCTGAAGAATTTAAACTCAAAACAAAACGATTGTGTACTTTTCACCGGTACATTTTTGTCAATTATTCAATCACAATTTCTGTTAAGTTTATTGACGTTCTCTGTCTTCATTCTCTTCCCTTTAACTCTTTTGTGTACTGTATAAAAACTTTCGTCTTAATTAGAGCGAATAGTTTCAAAGTATTTGAGCGCCGAGTTGATGTAAGACATTAAATAGGAATAATATATTTGTAAAATCTTAGCGAATGAATTTGAAGGAAATCTAACGTTTCACTTGGCAATCTGGTCCAAGCTTTTTCAAGGAATTAATTCCCTGATAATTCCTTGTGTACTGTTTTATACTACTTAATAATATTCAGTAAATAGTTGTATTCCTAGCAATTTCTACGCGTTTGTTGTGACTCAAGTTGGTCATGTAATATACCAAAATATTTACATACATTTATCGTATTTGTTGTATTTATCATCACAACTACTTTCGTTCAGTCCATTTAGCAATTATTCTTGGTTTGTGTATCGTCGTTTAATCTTAGTTTAAACTCAACGGTTTCTATATTGCATATTTTTAGTTCGGTTTGTGCTTGTCGATAAACTGTTATCAAGACTACACACAGCTATTAGCTGTCATTCGCATTATCGAATGTTATACTTATTCTTCATATGATTATTTCAGAAAACCTTTTTTTTATTTTAGACTTACTGATGTACAAGGAGGCATAGATACCTTACAAGTGGATGTTTGTAACTAATTAATATGTATTATTCAATAAAGAACCGCTTTTTACTCAGATCGTTATATTGTGAACTTTGATTTCGCACGTATCTCAATTGTGTGATTTAGACGCTTCAATCGGTTTAACAGCTTTTCACAGTAAACATTCAACAAATCCCAACTCATAAGTGTTTTTATAAAGATATTTATGCTTATAGATACATTTATTTGGCGCGAATGTCAGATCCCTGAATTTTGACTCTTGTGTAATGGTCGATCAATAACACTGTTAGTAACAAAGATATTTCGGGAGAAATCTTTCTGTAAATTCTGACGTTGACATCAATGTACAACCTGCTTGATTCAATTGACTTTTCATTTGATAAAATTATGAATATGGCTTGATATACTGTCTGATACACAGAAAGAAATGCAGGTGAAGACAAACAGTGTAGCAGCAAACTCTGCATCAATATGTTTCAACATACACAAGGGAAAAACAACATCTTCAAGTACAATACGAAGAACACTAATCCAATCATATATGATGGAGAAGCTCTGGAACATGTGGAGAGTTTCACGTATCTGAGATGCATCATCAATGAACAAGGAGGATTCAGATGTGAAGGCGAAGGTTGCCAAAGCAAGGAAAGCATTCCTACAATCGAAGTACGTATACAACTTAAAACAACTGTCACGATCTTCAATACGAACGTCGAGACAGTCCTATTGTACGGATCTGAAACTTGGAGAACTACCACAACCTTTTTCAAAACACTGCAATTAATTCTAAACAATTGTCTACGCGAGATACTCAACATTCACTGGTCAGATGCCGTCAACACTAGCCTACTGTGGGAGAGGACAAAGCAACTCCTAGTTGAGGAAGGAATTCAAAAAAGACGCTCGAAGTAGATAAGAAACACATTGAAGAAACCATCAAAATGCATCACGGAACAAATGCTAACTTTGAATTTTGAAGGGAAACGAAAAAGAGAAACACTAAAGAACACACTACGTTGGGAATTGGAAGCAGACAAGAAAAGGATGAATAGCAACTGGAAACAACTGAAAAGGAGAGCTCAGGACAGAGTAGGCTGGACTTTCCTGGATGGCAGACAAAAGGAAAGCACGGATAAATAATGGGATTCTACAGCTTTATGAATCCACAGCCATGTCATTGATTGAACCTACTTGTTTCCAATATTGTAATGAGGATGTTAATTTACATGTTCATCTTGTTAATCCTCATTAATCTTAGTGTTACGTAAGTTAAATCAAGCTGTAAAATAAGACGTATCACCAATGAAATGCTTTACGTTTGATTTCGGAACTGATTATGGATACATCTAGTTCAAAAGTTTTGGGTCAGCTTGATTGGAAAAAAGGTTCCTATAATTTGCATACTGCTAAATAGAGTACTATTAAATTTTGTAAGTAGTATCTTGAAATAATGAAATCTTCACATTTATTCCTCCATATTTAATTGTTTTTAGAAAATTTTATTCTTTTTACTTCTTAATGTTTCATCAATTATTCAAAATTCAACTTTATATTCCATTGACAATTACATGTTCATTTATAGACAAAGGGCATGAAATGTATATCTAATCAACTTCTGGAACAATTGGCATTATTTATTGGTCCATTATTAAATCAATGTAATGAAAATGAAGATTATGCTCCAGGTTATATCATTATGCATTTAAGTTTTTCATTATACCATGAAAGTGAGTAAAACTGATGAGATTATCAGTATATGATTGTGGAAATTAATAAGTTTTATTAAAGTCATTAACTGATTAATATTAGATGGCCATTGGAAATCTGGATACGCTGGATGACCGTTTCATCCTAAAATAGAACTCGCCAATAGTCAGCATCCTAGACTTATCATGTGGTAATAGAACTTCAAAAGATCGGTTCCATGAGCCAATACAACATCTAGATCACTAAGCCGACATCCAATGGTTTTAGTGTCTAACTTTGATCGATTCGTGATATCGCGGAGCCATCTTATGTGATAGCAAGATTCTTTTTAAAAAGTATATTAATCTAAACAATAATGCAAGCATTGATAGAGTGATAAACTGATAATATAGAGGTAGTCTAGTCAACTGAAAGATGTGGACATCATTGAAGTCCGTTGAAATCATGAATTGACCAATGTTAGACCATCACTGAAAACATAGAAGCACTGGACGACCGTTTCGTCCTGGCATGGGATTCCTGAGTAGTGGGCATCCACAACGTCGAGAGCGAAGATCGAACACGGGACCTTCAGTTTCGCGTACGGACGCCTAACCTCTATACTAATGCTCAGGAATCCATTGACGTCAAACTCCAACTTCAAAAGATCCATGATAGTGTGAGACATCTTCCACTGTCTTCAGTAGATATCTTCCTCACACCTGATACGATTTAGTAATTGCATATGAGACTGAATATCCTGAGTTTGGTTACTTCTTGAGAGTTCATGATGAGTTCCGTAGTATAACTAGACGGCCTTCCTATCTTCCCAGATTTTCAATAGTAAACTTACTTTGATCTGTCCATGTTTTGCATGAAATATTAACTTATGTTATCATATAAGCATTCTATGTTTTGTGAGGTATTATAGCACTCATAATCTCATTAGCATTATTTCCTGTTTTCAGCTGTCTCTTCAAATGGTACCGCTGAGCAAATATATCTTTATGTATTATTAAAAGATCAAGTGATTTGGCAGTCAATGAGGTTCTGGAATGCTGCCTTTTTCATTGCTTTACAACGTGAACGGGCTGAGCGTCAAAGATATCCAGTGTAAGTATATCTTTCTTTGATTTTCTTTTTTTACTCTTATTTATGCATTCACAATCACGCTTCAAGTAATTCAATAAACTTATGTCTATTATTGACGTTGTGTTGCTTGAACTGAATGGTTTAGTTCGGAAGTTGATATTGTAGTTCTGGCCAATATCACCAGTGTCTATTTCATGCGAAATTATACATCACTGAAGTCAATGCATATGAACAATCATGGACATAAATTTGATTGCGATGTCAAAATTCTGAACCGACGAAACTACATGTATGATGTAGAATTTCCAGAAATGATGGAAATCATATCACTTGATAATCAACAGTAATATCAATATTAATCTAATCTATTAACCTATACTGTAAAGCTCAGTTAAATAAATGTTCAGAGGTCGATTGATATGGATAGTCAAGGCCAACGGAAGTACAAATGAAGACAATAAATCACGTACTAGTCTATTTGAAAGAATTGAATTAACGTTTGTGGAATGAAGCTCAATTCAGCATGAAGTATGCACTAATCGCATTTTCTAGAACGACAATGAAATCTCAGTGATTAGCCATTTAGTAGTTTAAAGTACACAATATTTCCACCGAAAGCATCTTCATGATATCTAAATCTTCTTTATCATTTCAAGCAAACTAAATGATGAAACACGGTCAGTAATGAACTGATGTTTATGGCTATAAACAGAAAATAGTTCACAAATAAAAGTGTTTGTATCAATTTACAAATATTTTGCTGACAGTTCAAGAAGCGGGACTAGAAGATTCGTTTTTATAAACAAATAAGTATAACATTATGAAAATTTATGGAGATCTTTGTATTTTCACTTTTAAATTCATGAGTTAAGCTAAGCTAAACCATCATTGAAGCCGTGATCAGTAGAGTTCAATCCATGTTGGGTGGGAGACAGTTAACCACCGAAGAAAATGGATGAATGGTTGCGCGAGATTGTGGACCAGTTGAAGTTAGACATTAATATCGTTAGGTCTAAAGGTTAAGTGTTTGCTCGAGACCGAAGTTACAAGTTTGGGGTTCCACTTGCGGGCTCGTGAATGTGTACTGCTGAGTAGTCTCATACTAGGACGAAAAGGCCATCCAGTGATAACAGGTTTTCAATAGTGGTCTAGCTTACATCTACTAGTGAATCTAATTGTGAAAATAAATGCATATGCATATGTTATGTTTTGTGACAAGGAATATGAAGTACAGTAGAAACATGTCTGGTAGAATCGGTTTTCTTCTCACTGTTCATACAGTATAAGAAGGAGTGTTTTAGATCATGTCATTATTGGTATTTTGACTGAATTTGCATAGAACAGAGAGGATGTAGGTAGAGGTGGAATCCAGATGTGTATTTCATTGGATTTTCGACTCTTCAGCCGGTTGCACGTATATCGTAGTGTTAATTTTCATATCAAAACTTGAGCCTAGTAGCTTTCACTTGAAACTTCCAAAACATGATTCCCATTGCTACAGAGTCTAGACATCTATTCACTTATTCAACCAGTATGAATTTTAACTTAATTTGTAATGGCTTGGATTATCTAGTTGTTGATATCTTGACCGGATTTTGATCAGCCTTATTAGGCATGTGTGCATCCGGAGGGATCATCAACTTTAAAATGCAGGTACATCTAGCTGAAGAGTCCAATATATGAGAAAACAGGCATACTTTTTAAAATAAAGTTGAGTTTGTTTCTTCAAAACTGTATTTGATTTACTTTCTGTACCCATTTTTATTTAGCATTGAAGGTGATGATCCAATCCAAGCAGAAACTGATTTTCAAAATGACATTGTATATTCACAATTAAGGTGAGTTGGAGTTATATTAGAATATATCCTTTTGTTATCCAACGTAATTTATTTCAATGTAGTTGGTGAGATTTGCTCTAAGATTGAGATCAAATAATTGAGTCACTCATGAAATCTCAAACCAAAAGCATAAGATTTGTTCCAAATAAGATACTACTATTAAGTAGATGGTCAGCTACACAGTTAATAGAACTAAATTTGGAAGAAACCCAAGAGATTTGTAAGCAAATAAGCACGATCCAAGAATAAGTACTTCTTGATCCAGTTACGTAGGAGTGATTCACCGAAAGCATACATTATACCAATTAATATTCAGCAGTTCTGTCAAATTCAACAATGAAAAGCAAGAAGTCAAAACGAAGACTGTTTAAGCTAGATAAAATGTTACAGGTTCATGTGAATCCTATAACTGCTCAAAAATAAATATGACTGGTATACGTTACTGAGTATTGATAAGTAGTATAGTATGTTAAAGAAAAAAGAAAAGCAGAGCTACTGAGCTTGGTGTAAACATCAAAAATGCGATGTAAGAATATGCTGATGATGGGTTCCAGATTGGACGGAACTTACGTCCTTCATTCCATTGCTGGTTACAGATAAATTGGCGGGACTAAACTTTATGGACGAAATTTGAACGAATCTCAAATGACCTTGAGAAATATTTGCCAATAAAAAGACAGTATACAGTAAAAATATATCATACAAAACTAAAAAATTAAATCGGATACTGTTCTTTTACCTGGCTCGAAAACTTCTTAAGGTCAGGTATAGGTTCAGAAGTTCTAAAATCATAGTGCATACGGAACAGGAACTCATCCATATGGCTCCATAGTAGTCGACCTCTGGTCTCAATAATTCTTTTAGCCTCGACCACATAGCTTCAATGTTGTTGGTATGTTGGTATTGTCTAGGGTTTTGGGTAAGAGTTAAGGTTTAGGGTTAAGGGTGAAACTATAATTTATGGACGACCTTTGAGCGACGCTAGAAAGATCCTGAGAGTGTCAACCTAATAATATGCTCACTAGTGACTGGCTCCTTGAGGTAATTCCTGGAGTTCTAGTGAGAAGTCGTGGCCAGTGGAGCTAATCCATGTCAGGTAGAGACAGGTATCTACCTCAGTACATTGGAAGTTGGTTGCGCAATTTCGTGAATTGGTTAAGGTTAGACATTAACGCCGTTGGATGCCAGCTCAGTGGTCTATCGCTAAGGGCTCTGGCTCGAGACTGGTAGGTCATGGATTCGAGTCTCGTGAGCGCAGGATTGTGGATGCGCACTGCTGAGGAGTCCCATAATAGGACTAACGGCCGTCCAGTGCTTCCAGGTTTTACACGGTGGTCTAGCTTCAATTGACTCATGATCTTGACTATATAATAACTAAGACTAAATGAGGGTTATAAACCTGTGTGAAGAATTCAAATTATGATCTACATTTCATGGTTAAGGTTAGGAATTATACTTGGTGTTTTCATCACGAACTGACATCAGCGATAATGCCAAAACTCTATTTATCCAAATGGAGAATTACATTTCGCGCCAAAACCTTATGATCACTTCTCTTGTAGACGCTGAATTATCAAGTCTTCTCCAAAATCCTTTGTAAACCGACCGTACGTAAGCAATAGGTACCGAACTTAACGCCGTGATTTTGAAAACCAACAAAAGATTCTGATTGGCTGGTCCATAAAGTTTAGTCTTGCAGACAAATTCTTTTCATAAAATTAGAAACGCGAAGATGAGGGAAGCGAATGCGATCTAACAACCCTTGTTAGTCTCGATTAGATAGTCGAATGTGTATGTCAGCCATCTTAACTGGGAGTAAATGACTTTTGTTTCAACTGACAGGAGTGATTCTGGGAAAATTTTTGACGCATTTTTAGGTCAAAGAATTCAAGGTAAATTCTCTGTAGACAAAGTATACTTACTACATTAAATATATATCTAAATAATAAGATTGGTAATTTTAGCCTATTTTCGGTTAGAAAGCATTGGGTAAGTATCTTGATTACAAGTATTTACTTGAATGTTTGTGCAAGACAACGTCAAATCTAATCAAGAAGAACCATTTCACTAGAGTTTTGTGTTTATGAACACTAGATAGCAAACTCTACTAATAAGGATAAAGGAACAGGGTATTTGGAGTCGGTTTTCAATGTATCCTATCCAATGTTAGGGAGATTCTCTTTCAATAGTATAATTTAATATTAGTAGTCCGATTGTTCCAAATAAACGTTTTCAAATATATCTCAAATAAAATTGCATGGGGAAGATGGATAGTGGCTAGCAGTGGAATCTAAAATGCTTGCTTCGTCCTATTTGGGACTCGTCAGCTGGATGTACCTGCATCTCAGAGTTGATGTTCACTCTGAGACTCGAACTCAGTACCTTTCGCTTCAATTTAATAAGTCTTGATGATTGGACGCTATATTTGGAACCTAAGTTATTCTCTTAACCCCCGCCCAAGCTAAAACTACACAGCGACTTGAACACGAGAGAAAAGGTGCAAAATATATGAGAAGGACTTTACTCCAAAGGTTCATTTATGTACAGAAAATATAGGGTTTTTATAGTATTTTAAAAGTCCTTGGGTTTTCCTGAAAATTCTAGAATACTACTAAACATAGTAGTAGTGTCGTAATCAGCCAATCAGAACCTCTACATGTGATTTTTCATTTTCTCGATATTTCTAGCAAAACTTCTAATCAAATGCTGTTTGGGTAAAATACTTCCTAATGTTTCCTAAGCTTGTCATGTCTATTGCGATAAATTTTCAGGATCAAACCAAAAATATTCCCATGAAATTTCTGAAATATAATTTCGAAATTTTCTTTTGGGTCAACAATATTTGTTCATTATTTCTTTGAACACATAAATATTGATACAAAGGGGTACTGGATATATGTGCGCCGCACAAAAAGTTGTCTTTTCACTTTATTATGTGAGGGCTATGATACTGCCCGGGCGCCAAGACCGAAGCAAGTGGTTTTCTTACGGGGAAACACCTGGAGCCTTTGATCTAAGGGTCTGATCCACAAGTCACATGGTAGCTAGTGACCAACAATAGGTTCATACGTCATTTTTTTCTTCAGAATCCTGAAGCCTATGAGCATCATTGGTTTGGAACCAGGGTTTTCCAACTTTCCTAGGGGAACTTTTCGTGTCCATAAACCCGGTTAAAGCGCCGGACATTTGCTTTTCATCCTCTCAATTTCGTAAGCAACACCCCCGCCATGAGAAATCAGCAAGTAGGACTCCCCTAGCAGAGGCTGTATAAGCGTAGCCGTGTGAGAGCATTTCGATAGAGGGATGGCCCCCACTCTCGGCCGTGCTTGAGCATTTGGGGGCAGATCGACAATAACAAGATTCAAGTTTTACCAATCCCTTCTACTTGAAATTTCTTAAAACTTGTTTGTTAAATATAATATAATATTATAGTCTACATTACAGGCTGATGTTAAACGAACAACTTTCAGAAACTATTTCGTTCAGGACTGAATCTTCGTCTTAACATTTGACTCTTCAACCGCACACATCTCTGATGACATTTCTGTCGTCTTCCATTGCATACATAATAAGCAACGAAATTAATTAATTAGCTAGTGATAAAGATAATAGACAACATTCATCTTGATATTTATCAAATGAATTCATGTAGTCATAACGTCCCTTATTATCTTTTGGCCAGCTATGATAGTTTTGTACAGAGCGTAGAGAATAACACCTAAGCTATTCTTTTTTTTGTAATAATGAGCTATCTAGTATACTGATATGAGATTATGTTAACCATTTATTTTTACATAACTCTCTCTCAGTGCTCATTCGAGATCATTTTGTCCGCGTTTTCAACTAATTTTAAAATTATGAAAAGATGGAACTTGTTTGTTTGTTTTCATTGGAGAAAGACTTTAGTTTCAAGAAAAAGCCTCCCTCCCCCAGTGAAAAAAAACCCAGGAAGAACATGACAGACGTACCATCATTCATGATTTAAACAAAAAAACAATATTTGTAAAATTTTAGTTTCTATGCTAAAAAAATTATAAAAAAAAAGAAGAAATTAATGACTACAATTCACAACAAGGTTCATTCATTATAGTTTAACATTAATTATTGATAAAACAAAACAACGACATTCTGTTTTGTTTTATGTCGTGGGATTTTCGTGTCACTTTTCGTTTTACAAAAAAAAAACACCAAGGCAACTCGCAACATTTTTTCGATAAAAAATGTACCTGTATATGTTACTCCTTGTTTAAAACTAAAAAGAAAAAAATTAGTTTGATTTACATTATAGAAACTCTGTTAGAAGTTTTATTCTGAAATTGGAAATTTATATGAACATAAATGATGATAGATCGGTGAAAAGATTCAGTAATTTAGAATATATCATCGTTTAGTTCATGAAGTTTTTGAAGATTGATTCAATTGGTACGTTGTATTTGTTGTAGATTGATCACAGTTAGCGTATCATTTAAAATAGGGGTGCATTATTTAGATGTTGCGTCCTAGTAAAGTAATCAACTATACACGCCCACGATATCTTCATAAATCGAGCTTCAAATATTCATTTTTTATAGTATATAAACAATCATTAGAGCCACTACGTAGTTAATTAATGGTACAATTCTAACCTCAAATATGTTAGATGTATATACTTACTGATATACTTACGCCTGTTAACCCTCATTGAGGAGCATAGGCCATCCACCAACATTCACCATCAAACCCTATCCTGATGAGTCCTTTACACTTGTTTCCAATTGTTATTCATCCTTTTGATATCTACTTCCAATTCCCAACGTAATGTGTTCTTCGACCTTTCTCCTTTCCGTTATTTTTAAGGATTCCAAGTTAGCGATTGTCTCGTAATGTAGATTGATGATTACCATAATGTATTTTCAATCAACTTCTGACGACATTTCATAATTTTCTATTCAGATGGAAGTTGGTTTATTCTCTCTCACAGTAGACTTTTGTTGATGGTATTCTGTATCTACATGATTCATCGCAATACAGGATGGAATAAAGAATGTATTATCTGATGAGAGAATTTTCACTCAGTCATTTATTAACATACTACGACATTACATAATATTATCAAGATAGTGTTCTTTGAAAACCGAATTCAGTTGTATAAACGTTCTATATGATTATAATAATAAACGCAATTTTATAGACAGAAGTTGTGTATTCAACTTAAAAAAATTAATAACAGAAAGGGTTTTTGTGGTTAAGCGTTCGCGCGCGAGACCGACAGGTCCTGGGTTTGAAACTCGCTAGGCGGAATCGTGCTAATGAGTCTCATAATAGAAAAGGTCGTTCAGTGCTTGCAGATTTTTCATGGTGTTCTATCTTCAATTGACTCATGATCTCAACTATTAAAATCACTATAATATCCACAAAAACCTCTTCCGATATTAATCAACAGATGCTCACTAGTGACTGGCTCCATGAGGTATTTCCTGGAGTTCTAGTGGGAAGCAGTAACCAGTGGAGTTCAGCTTGGTCTGTTGTGAGATATTAACTCACTGAAGACAATGGCGTATGTGTCGCTCAATTTCATGGATTGGTTGAAGTTAGATATTAACACCGGCCGGCTCAAAGATCTGGAGGTTTAGTGTTTGTGCGCCAGCCCGACAGGTCCTGGGTTCGAATCTCGCGTAGCAGGATCGTGGATGAGCACTGATGAGGAGTATCACGATAGGACGAAACGGGTATGGGGTGCTTCCAGGTTTTCCATGGTGGTCCATCTTCAATTGACTCATGGTTTCTACTATATATAAAATATGTGAATAGTTAAGCAACTACATTTATACTGAAATAGAATAGATGTATCTAGCAGTGAAATCTATAATACGCAATTCTTCCTTTTCGGAACTTATCATATGTATCCAGCTGTATAGGAACTGCATAAATCCACAAAAGGTTGGTCTAAAAATCGTAGAGTATATCCTATGGTTCATCACACAAATTAGTAATATACTTTTAAAATTGACTTCATTTATAATCCAATCCCTCAGTGAACATCAATTCTAGAATCCAGGTACACTCAACTGATGAATCTTAAATGATACAAAACGTACACCTTGGATTCCATTACTAGAGAGATCACATTTATTCGATATCAGTTTGCATTATAATGGCAGTTTTCAAAAGATCCTACTTCCCTTCTACCAGACGTTTGTGCTGATTATTATTACTATTAATATTATTATTATTATTATTATTATTATTATTATTATTATTAGCTTTATTCAACATTATATTATTTGGTACAAAATCGAATTCTCAGCATAAAGTATTTCAACATGTTTACGTTTCTTATTTCTTCGTTGCTCCTGATGATAAACATTCAGTGATCGCCAGTTGGATGTCAGCAGTTCAGTCAATCGACATATGAATAATGTATATTCTTTTTGCTGCATGTTCCCAGCAAACATGACATCTCTAATTATGCCTTTTGTAACTTTTACAGCGAAAGGTTGTACAGTTTTCAGAAACGCACCAGGATAGGTTGTGTGCTTAATAGTCATAATTATGTATTAAAACAAACAATATTAGATAACTTGTTGAAATATATAGATGACGGGAAATAGGTAGCCCAGATGTTTAAGCAGGCCGCCCGGTGAATGAAGAAGAACAATGAAAACTCCACGACCAAATCATCCAGATCAGAGAACAAACCTACATCAGAATCTTACTTAAATTGATTAAATTTCAATTCAAAAAAAAAAATCAACAACAGAATAATTCAAGTAATCTAGAATTAAATTTTTATTGTTTATTATTTTACCTTTTAGCAAATTTCTATGGCGTATGTATACTTTAGGAATGTCACATGAATTATGTATGGACTTTATACGTAAACAAGCCAATGCAACTAATTTACCAAATGGTTAGTCTATACAATATTCATAAATTATATATAATTTTGTATTGAACGTTTGATTTATTTATTTCATTATTTATTTAAACATTAAAAAAGAACATTGGTACAAGAGAGCATCAAATACATATGCGTCATAATTCATCATTTGATTTATGTAGAAACTGGAATACAATCTGATTAACCAAACTGAAGAGAGTGATTTTATAAAGGGGTCACAACTAGAGCCTTAGATCTAAAGATCTGATCTATAAGACAATGAAGTAATGTCAGAAGATGTTAGTCAGTCAGCTACAACGTAGGACCAGGCACATTTATGCATCGGTCCAAGTTGCCATACCTCGTTAGCACAACAAGATGAACACCGGGTTCATAGAGGTAATTAATTTAGTGGTAGTAGTATATAAATTATAGGTTGTATATAAGGATATAGTACAGGGAGGAGGAGAGATATGAAGCAATTTTAGTCTCAAGGTTTAAAGGAAGATAAAGAGTGTATACACCTACGCCATTGTGATCGATTCTGAGCCATGTCACCTAGAGTCTCCAACCATTGGTTACGATAGTCACGCGGACCCCAACCAGGTAGTCTGCATCTGCATCTGTCAGAAGATGTAGTCACATGGTAGTCGGTGACTAGCGATTGGTTCATATGCCATTTGTTCCTTCAGGATACTGCAACCCATATGCACCATTGGTTTGGAATTAGGGTTTTCTAACTCACCTAAGTCAATTATTCGTACTCATCAATACGGTTAAAGCACCAGACATTCGCTTTTGATTCTTTTAATTTCTTAAACAATACCCCCATTGCGAGAATGCGGTGATTAGGACTTCCCTTACAGTGGCTTTATACGTGTGGTCATGTGAAAGCATTTCGAGAGAGAGAGAGAGAGCTGACTCTCTCACTATCAACCATACCAGGGCATCTGGGGGCAAGCAAATAGCGTCGCGCGGGAGTCGAACGCGGAATGCCCGCGTGACAGGCGTACATTCGAGTATTGAACCACTGACCATTTGGAAACCTGTATTTAAGATCTAGGTTTTTACAATAGGAATTTTAACTTATTTTGGATATTTGGTACTGACTAGTTATTTACATTGATATATAGATAGATGATATCTCTTTCTAAAGTTGAATCATGGGAATTACAATTATATATTATATGGAAATGATAAAAACCCCATGTTGAACTTAGTTTTTATATAAGTTAATGAAGAATGCTAGAAAACGGGAACCATGTCAACTGATTTAATTGACTTTGTTGCAAGTCGAATTCAACTTTTTAAATCGATGATAAGACTTTTACCTTATAGCGATCTGAAGTAAGTTTGCATGATTTAAAATTAAGGTAGTCCTATGAAGAAAAACGAATATTTTGAAAGTGATATGAGGTGAAAAAAAAACACTTAATATCTGTTTCATTTTAACATTCCAAACTCAAATGATTATATGAAATCATGAGTCAGATGAAGCTAGACCATCATGGAAAACCTGGAAGCATTGAACTGCCATTTCGTCCTAGTCTTTCACTCCTCAGCAGTGCATATCCACGATCCCGCCCCATGGTGGTCTAGCTTCAATTAACTCATGATTTAAACTAAATATAAAAAAATATAAAAAATAACTGAAAATCTCCAGAGAAAAAAAGTATCTGTTTCAGTAGAATTACTGGTTCTATTTTTTTTCGTAAATATTTTTCATGATTAGTTACCAGTGGGCAAAAAAAAGAAAAAAAAAGAAAAAGCCAAATATCATTAATGAATAAATGAATGTTTCCTTATCAGAAAATCATAGATAATTGAATTTCAACCAAAAGTTTTACGATAGAGGGAGATATCTGTCTAGAGATACTATCGAAGTAGAGATAAAGCTCTTAACTAATACGTTAATAAATAATGGTTATTTATTGAAGTTCATAAACCTCTGGAAGGGTTGCATTATAATTAGAGCTATGACGCTTCTGGTACCCAAAAAGCGAGTTTATATTATGTTACCATTTAGGGGCGATTTAAATGGTCTGATGTTGAAACGAAGACTGAAATTAGCCATCAACAGGACATTTTATTCAGCCCAACTTGTCATCATTGATAAGATAAGGTCTATGTTTCACCAAAACCCCAAACAGCACATAAGCGATTGCGTCACATCCCATTGTGTCTATCGATTTACATGTATATGAGGAAACACGTACATAAGGAGGAGCAATCGTGATCTTCAATTAAGAGTGGTGGAACAATACCTTAATGACTCCAGAAACAAATGAATTCCAATGGTCAAATAAGATCACAGGATAGACAAACATCTTCCTCCACTGCCAAACATTTGATTGAAACTGGTCATAAGGTTGACATCAAGTCAGCATTTGTAGTGTTGTACGAAAGCCTTCAAAGATGTATACTAAGTTTTATTGAAGCTCTGGCTATACAGAAATTGAAACCCTCTTAATGTGTTCAAAAACAATTTGTTCTTACCCTCAACCTACCCTGGTAAAGCTGATTTATTATCCAGAGTGGTCATCACATTACAATCGGATTTAGAAGGAACTTGATGCTATTTCGAGTTCACCTTAGTCGGTAAACGGAATGATGGTCAAAAAGATACAGTGACACATTAGGTTATTCTAATCTGTTGTCCCAACCCCTGCTAACTAGATCAAGAAGTCTTGATGATGCGTGCCATGTGACAAATATGACTACTTTGGGTTAAGCGGAACTGTATCCAGTATTTACTGTTTTCAACTCCAGTCAATCAGGCCTCATTTGTTTTGTTCAAATTTATCAATGCGAAATATTGTAAAGGGGTATATTTATGCTTTAATGGGTGCTCGAACCCTGACGCTGTGATATCGATATGAATTATGATGAATTGAATAAAGTTAGTGATACTAACCATAAAATACTAGTTCAATACTCTGGAGTTTGAGCATACAGCATGGGGCCTACAGGTCTTTAATTTGGTCATTGACTGTGAGTTTCTAACTGGAACTGTTGAAGAGCACGTTATTTGAATGAATACAGCTACTCAGGCGTAATCAATTTGGATTTGTGAAGATGGCTAAGTTTTCGCTTGAGATTATGAATTGATTGGTATTAGACCACCATTGAAAACCTGAAAACACTATATGGTCGTTTCGTCCTAGTATTAGACATCTCAGCAGTGAGCATTCAGGATCCCCCACACAGAAACTGAATGCCTAACCTCTAGACCACTGAGCCGGCCGTCATCAAATAGTCTTAATGTCTAAATTCAACTAATCCATTAAATTGCGCGACCATCTTCCAATGTCTGAGGTAAACCCCTGTCTCTACCTGACACGGATTAGCTCCATTGTTCACAACTTCTCACTAGAACTACAAGAATTCCCTAACAAAGCTAATCACTAGTGATAAATTACTACAATCTCTATTGTTTTTGTTATCTTGCCTTATTTCTTTATCTTTTCAAATTTCATAGATCTAGTCAAAATCATTCAAAAAAATTGTCAACACTTCTTTGAAACTACTAATTCAAATGAAGTGTCCCAATGAATGATTATCAGTTAATGTTACATAGATACTTATCTATAATGTTTCTTTCATTTCATCTATCCAAACGAGCAACAGTTTATAAATTGCATTTCATATTATACACAATTATTGCATAATCACAGTAATCACCCCCTTTTCTATATGATTACAATGGAGGTAAATCTGTGTTTTCTTGTTTGTTTGTTTGTTTATTGATTTATTTATCTATTTGTTCAACTATAACTGTTTGTCATGTCATGTCATCAGTCATTATTGATTGTTTGTTTGTTTGTTTTTTTCAATAATTTATCAAAGTTACATTTTGTTTCCAAGGTTCTTTTAAGTTTGTATTCGTCTATTTTGTGGATAATACGTATTTACTAATTCGTCTGATTATTCTTGTATCTTGCTTATATCTTACTTTTAACTCATTCATTTGTCATTGTTAATAGATGATAATTATTTACTACTGAAAATAATGTTTTTTTCATAATTGAAATCATGAGTCAATTGAAGATAGACCACCATGTAAGACCTGGAAGCATTGAACGGCCGTTTCGTCCTATTATGAAACTCCTAAGCAATGTGCATCCATGGTCCCGTCTCGCGAGATTCCAACCTAGGATCTACCAGTCTCGCGCCAGATCACTTAACCGATAGACTACTGAGCCGGAATCCAACGGTGTTAATGTCTAACTTTAACTAATCCACGAAATCTGAGCGACCGTTCACCAATTATATTCAGGGAGTTGATATCTCTACAACAGACGTGGGTGAACTCCACTGGTCAATGCTTCTCACTAAAACTCCAGGAAATATCTCTTGAAATCAGTCACTAGTGATTACAGATCAGAAGGGGTTTTGTAGAGATTTCAGTAATTTCACAGTTGAATACATGAGTAAATTCAAGCTAAACCTTCATGAAAACCTGGAAGCACTGGACGGCCGTTTCGTTCTATTATGGGACTGGTCAGTGTCAGTGTGCATCCATGATCCCGCCTCGCGAGACTCGAACTCGGGACCTACCAGTCTCGCGTCAGAGCTTCAATTGACTCATGATTTCAACTATGAAAATACTGAAATCTTTACAAAACCCCTTGTGATCAATAACGTTTTTATCCACTTGAACAATGAGCAATCAGATTTTCAATAATTCTAAACAGTATGATATAACTGAATGGATTTTGTGGAGGTTGGTTTAATTTCAAGATGATATTTCCCATAGATTGATCGTATTTGAGGTGTGATAACAAATTAGAGAACATTGGGTGACTTCTTGACAAAGCACATAAAGGACACTGTCTAATTTCGAATCCGGAAACGTCAAAAATTAAGAAAAATGAGTTTTTTACATTATTCTGGAAGTATTGTGTTAGCTGAGTGATTTGAAGGTTCATGATTCCATCTTTTTAGAGGTTATAGTTAAGTGATCGAGAATTGAAACCTAGGATAAAATAGCTGTTCAGTGATACTTTGATTTACAAAGATCTCTCAACAAACATCAGTTCATGATGAACACTCTTTTCAAAGGAAGCAGAAGTTGGTGAAAATTCTAGGTTGCTTGTCAAATAGGGGCAAGAGTTTAGTAACATTACAGACTTATTTCTCCTTATAATAATGGACATGCTACTATTTGGTTGTTTGTGTTAGAAGCTCATATTTTTACAGGACACGATCAAGTTGAGGTAGCTGAAACACCAGACTGTGTTGAAAGACTTCTTGTTCCCACTAATTGGAGGAAAAGAACATAGTTATGATAACTTATAGTATGACGTTATACTTTATGAAATCGATCTGAAGCAAAAATAGGAATGTTGAATGATCAACATAAAATGTGACCTAATCTTACATACTTGATAGATTGTATCAGTTATTCTAATAATAATTAAATTATATGAACTCATGAATATCTAATTAATTATGCAACATCCCCAACAGGGATAGAGAAAGAGGGTGGTAATAATCAGAAAAGATGATCTTTTGAAGAATAGTTAAAAACCCATTCTATGACGTTCAAAACACAAAGAAGTACAGGTATTTGCATAAAATCCTTGAATAGAACTTATGAACTTTCTCGTCCGAAGAAAAAGAATTGTTTTAAAAAAGTAGACGTACTAGTGTGAAACACGTAGTCTTCACGGGATTCGAAACCATATCACATGGTTTCGTAGCCAAAAAATCGCTAACCCTGAAATATTTTGGCTTCTATTGATCTTCAGTAGCACTTGAGTATATTTAAAATTGATTGGTCACTGACAAAACTCGATCAGCATGGTTTCTCACTAGAATCCTAGGATTTAGATTTCAAAGTTAATCACTAGTGAACACAACATTGTTGTTAGTATGAAGGTTTATGTGCAGATTGTTAATTTCCTATGCGCACCTGGTGAGTCCCATATTAAGATGAGATGGTTGTTCGCTGTCTTAATCTCGATCGATATAAATGAATCGACAGGTAGCATTTAACGGTATAAGGTTGTGTAAATTGTTGAGTTTTATTAAAATCACGAACTGATCAAAGTCAAACAAATATATAACTCCTGAAGTTAGTAGAAGACCACCTTGCTCTAGTACGAGTCGACTAAGCAGCGCATATTCACTAATAAAAATACACAAGTGAAATCCACAGTCTTATCTCTCGCGCAAACGCCCAATCTCTAGACTACTGAGCTGGCCGACATCCATGTCAACTTCAATCAACCCAAGACTTTCTGCAACCATCTTCCATTGTCTTCAGTGGGTAACTGCCTAAAATTCGACACGGTTGGACTGCATCAGTCACGCCTTCTCATTAGAACTTCAGAAATTTCTCATCATTATTATTACTATTATTACTAAAGATTTTATTCAATATTGAATTATCAGCAACAAATATTTTTAGTTTGTTCAGTAAACAAACTAGCTAGAATTAAGTGAAACATTTTTAAGAAGATTAAAATCTAAACAACTTTGTTATTTAAATTCACTTAGTATTGTTTGTTAGAATCTTCCCATCGATGTGTTAGGACCGCAACTGGTCAGTCTTTAATTGGCATATGTGCATACTGTGCGTATTGCCTCGATATTACCTTAATTCACAAGATTCAAACAAACAATACTAAGTGAATTCAAACTTCACCCCATCGCACAAGCAAGTGGCTATCAGGACTCAGTGGCCGAGTGGATAAGGCGATGGCATTTGAAGCGAGGGTATTGGGTTTGTGTCCCAGAGTGAACATAAACTCTGAGATGCAGGTACATCCAGCCGACGAGTCCCAAATAGGACGAAACGCGCGTCCTGGATCCCGCTGTTAGCCACTATCCATCTCTGCTTAACTTTGTTATTAGTTTAGCTGTGACCACGTGTTCATCACATAGTCTACTCGCTAGATAAAGTATCGTAGAGCCTTTGTATTTTTGCTCGCGGCCGTGGATCCTAATGTATTGTCGTTTCATTTTACCAGAAGAGGTAAATGAAGTAAAATGTTAGTATCTGATAAGATAACACTTGCCACGAGTTTGCAATATTATGGATATTTATCTAAAACGTTGAAGGATTCACTACACACTATGATAACTGCCTTTATCACTCCCTAAAATACGACAAAGTCTTTTCTCAAAGGCCTGTGAGAGAATAATGCAGAATGATAAAGAACAATAGGTAATATGCAAGAATTAATAAATCGTAGAAGCAAACGTCAAGCATTTCCGAAAGCATGTATTAGGCAAGTGGAAAGTCAAACGGAAAATGTTTTCAGTAACAATGAAACATCAGTAGACCATGAGAGATTAGAGGAAAAACTTACACGAAGATAAATGTCCTTTGACATTGTTTTTATTAAAGAATCTTCAGTACCACAAGCTTTACGGACTCCAACATAGTGGAGGAGATTTGTAGCTCAGTTGGGTGATTTTGATGGAGTTTTGTCCTCTGAGCTGGATGGTTTGGTCGTGGAGCTTTCATCTTCCTTCTGAACGACATCATGGGCACAAACTTCGGATAGAAGTGAAGTGTTCGAATTTCTCCACATCGAGGTGCACGGGACAAGCTGTGAATACCATGTGGAGAAATTCAAACACTTCACTTCTACCCGAAGTTTGTTCTGATGATGTCGTTCAAAAGGAAGATGAAAGCTCCACGACCAAACCATCCAGCTCAGAGAACAAAATTCTAACATAGTTTTTAGGTGCTATTTATACCTCAAGGTAAAGTTAACATTTTGACATTACGACAGATTAAGTGTGAGACCATGAACAAAGGAACATCGTTCAATAAGAAATAAGAATTCATTTATTTCTAGAGGATGTAAAGAGGCGGAATTTGGAATATATATAGTAATGTCATCAGCATATTTAACAAAGGTATTTTCTGTTGAAGATGGCAGATCATCCAAAAAAAAGAGAAAAGAGAAGAAAAATTAGTCACAGCTAGTTACTAGTGAACACATAACACTTGCCTGTGTTGATGATTCAAAGATTGTTCAATTATATTGTGATAACAAACTGGTCATAATTAGACAATCCTGAGAAGTCAGATAACTAGACTTAAATTATTACAATTCTATTCAACTGATTTACAAATCTATTAAAAGGTAAGGTGTTAATTTTTGTTCATTATAGATTAACAGACAATCTTATTAAAGTATAGAACAAATGAATTAAGTGAAATCATACTGTAGTAAACAAGAACACAGGCGTGGACAACCAAATGTATTTCAGTATACAGTTAAAGAATCGCATAAGAAAATCTGAGAACCATACAGTGAATAGTTCATTTGCAAAATGACAATCAATCGTTTCAGACTTCATTATTCTTTCGTTTCCATACTTATCACTTTCTGTTCTCGTTCTCTTTTATTTGATCTTCTTAACCTTCTGACACCATAAATTTCACTTTCGATTGATGATACATAGTACTTATATCTATTCACATCAGTAGCACACACTACAATACAACTGACTTAATGAATTACTGTCATTAGCTAGAGGTGTCAAGTTTTTTTTTCAACTATCAAAGTTGAGTCTTTGCAATGTCAACATTATTATTATTACTATTTGATAATAATTATGACATAATTAATCTCAGTCGATGTATTGAACAAGTATCCAAGTTTATAGTATGCTTATTAATGTTTACAATACTAGCCGTACGTGTACATTCAATCATCCTAGACAAAATAGTCTAACCATTTACGACTGTCCACTTATTATTGTTTGTTTGAATCTTCCAAATTGATGTTTAGGACTGCAACTGGTCAGTCTCTTATTGGCATATGGGCATACTGTGCGTATCGCCTCGATATAGCCTTAATTCACAAGCTTATAAGCCAAGATGGATAGTGTCTAGCAATGGAATCTAGGACGCGTGTTTCATCTTATTTGGGGCTCGTCAGCTGAATGTACCTGCTATCAGAGAAAAGAATATTCATATATATATGTATAGATATGGACTTCATAATCTTACTATCAGACGTACAAATCTGATCTCAATGG